AAACCGGTGGGCGGTTCGAGAAAATTTTACTACTAACAGAGATACAAAAGTGGGCGGTATGTATAAAAAGGTTGACTACCCCTGATCAAGCCGTTGTGTAGTGAGAGCTTTAGTCTGGCGAGATTCCTGTCTGTAGGCAAGCAGCAACAAACATACCACTCTTGATCACTTACATATGCTATTTTGGGTTCCTTGCACCTAACGGTGGCCCAGCTTCAAGTCCAAGAAGGCTAAAGTCCATTAAACCAGAGGGCCTTCAAACTTGACAGCTTTAAGACTTGTGGACTTCAACTCCCACAATTCTTCCTCCAGTCATGTGAGCTCAGGAATTCTGGGAGTTGAAGTCCACAAGTCTTAAACTTGCCAAGTTTGAAGACCCTTGCATTAAATCGTCGGAGGGATGCCAAGAGCCCAAATTAAACTGTAGGATTTAAAACAGCACCTGTATCAGTGGTGGGGTTCAAATATTTTTAACCACCAGTTCGGTGGGCATGGCTTGGTGGGCACACTTTGCGCGCATGCACACACTTTCAGGTGTTTGCACAGGTGCAGAGGCATTCTAACTTGCCTCCTGCAAGTCTGCATTCTTCCAGATGCTTCTGCTGTGCCGCGCAAAGCAGCTGCGCTCCAAATTCAGAGGACAAAGGTGAGTATGGGAGCCCAACACCAGAGCGGTGGAGAGAACTGGTTCGGTCTCCGCTGCTCATCGCTGCTACCAGCTCGGCAGAACCAGGCAGAACCAGTAGAATACCACCACTGACCTGTATCTTCCTGCTGGCAGAGGAACAATCCATTGTATCGGTGTCTTCTTCCAGTAAAGATTCTTATCTAGCTGGGCCAAGTTATGTGCCTCAAAAATGGGTGTGAACTTAGGCCTTAGTCACGCCATGCCAAGAATTGAGAAGTTCAGCTGGTGGCCCTCAGAGGCTGCCTCTCACAATACAGGTTGTCCTTGAACTTATGATCATCCTTGAGCCCCAAATTTCCATTGCTAAATGAGGCAATTGTTAAGTGAGATTTGCCCCATTTTTACAACCTTTTGCCACTGTTGTTAAGCGAATCACTGCAATTGTTAAGTGAATCATGCGGTCATTAAGCAAATCTGGTTTCCTCCATTGATTCTGCTTGTCGGAACTGGCTGGGAAGGTTACAAATGGTGATCACATAACCCCAACACAGTGCACAACTATCATAAATACATGCCAGTTGCCAAGTCCCCGGAGTTTTGACCCCAGGGGTGCTGCAATAGTCCTAAGTGTGAAAAACAGTCCTACATCGCTTTTTGCAGTGCCAGTGTAACTTTGAATGGTTACTAACCAAATGGCTGTAATTCAAGGACTACCCTGTACAGCAAATGAGGCCCTGATCTGCTTGATTTCATGACATATTAAGAGACAAAATTACCTCGATGCATCTAGAGCTGACTTCATTCGTGGACTTCAAATGCCAACTACAGCTGATGCTTCAGATATGGCCCATAATGCTGTTGGTTTTGATTGACAGTGTTGTTTGAAGCTAGGGATTGTAATTTGTCAGTGAATCATAAACTGTGGCTTACTGTATAATTCAAACCAAACCAACTGTGGTTTCTTCAACGAAACCATGGCTAAGCGTATCATAACTTAGGGCACTATGGATACTAGTTCAAAAATTGCCCACTACACAAGGAACTTCATAGCTAAAACCTTAATCCAAATCATTTCCCAGTGACTTCAGAAGAAAACCTGCACAAGGGGAAAGAGACAGACAGAGGTTAATTTACTAGATTTGCCACTAGATGGCAGCAAAGGTTTAATGTCTTTGCTACCGTTTAGTGTGTGTCTGGATTTATGCAGCTCAGAAACAGGAAACTTTGAACCCAGTGTCCTTCCTGAGGTCTAGTAAGCTGGAAATTTACACGCACACATAGACATACACACCCCAAAAAAGTCTTGGAAGTAAAAAATGGAAAGCAACTTCTAAATTGTTTGCAGGACACAACAAAAAATCAAACTTGACTCTAAGGATTTATATATATATATATATATATATAAGCTTAACTTTTTAGGGGCTGGCTGCATGCAAATTAGGTGGTAGAGCAAAAAAACACAATAGGATGAGATATGACTTGTTTCCTAAATCAAATAATATTTTTTATCACTGCGGTCTTCATTTGGCTGTTTCTTGTGTCTTATTCTGTAGGCATGAAGGAAAGGGACGATGTTTAAAATGATCCTCAATTCCTTTATTTCGTAAGTTGGAAGAGAGAAAAATTGCAACTCCTTCGTATAATTAATACTGAATGCCTTAACAGCCTTTCTGGAAATGGCCTAATAATGATGAATGAGACACTTACAAAAGACCATCTGAAGCGTTCATTTGACGTACCGGTGGTAATCAATACGTTACGTGTGCACGTAAGGATGATGAGAAAGCAATCAACTAAGAGAGAGAAAGCAAGAGAGCGTGTGAATCACATCATGCCACAAGGCTTTCTCACCCCTATCTTTCTTTAGCTGCATTTCAGACTACACTAGCTGATAGATAACCTTCACAATTTAAGAGGCAGGCTTCTTGTCAGAGCCGACCTGAGCTAGGTTTAATTGAAAGTCTCCTGTTGGCAGTGGGAGTGAGATATTGGAAAGGGCACCTTTGTAGGACAGCGGTGGCGGCGTAGCACAAAGTGACTTGTGAAGCTGGAGAAGGACTGGATATATTACTTGGGGCGGGAGATAGAGCAATATGAAGCAGAAGCGAGGGAAGAGCACCCTCTGCTGGTCAGCTTCGGTAAACAGAGATCACCGCTTGGCCAGGATGCAAATAAAAAGGAGTGGAGAGAGATAATTATGACACCCCACCTTGGGTGATGTTGTTCTTGTTCTTGTTGTTCATGGACTGCTTTTTCTATTCTGTGACACGCACACATCCCTCTCCACAAGGGGTGTCATCTTATGAGCACTGCCATTCCTTGATATTTCAGGCCAGGCTCAGTCCCACACCAAAAACAGAACAGAACAGAACAGAACAACAGGACTGAACAACAGAGTTGGAAGGGATCTTGACCCTTGCTCAAGCAAAAGACCCTACACCATTTCAGACAAATGGCTGTCCAGTCTCTTTTTAGAATCTTCCAGAATCTTCCAGACCCACAATTTTTGAAGGCAAGTTGTTCCACTGGTTAATTGTCTTCATTATTAGGAAGTTTCTCCTTAATTCCAGGTTGCTTCTCTCTTTGATTAGTTTCCATCCATTGCTTCTTGTCTTGCCTTCTGGTGGTTTGAATTAGTCCGAGAATTCTGGAGCTGAACTACCTATTAACTCACAGAGCTATGCCTAGTTCTCCTCTGACCTGGCTTTCTTCTCGGTTTCCTCCTTGAGAAGAGGAGCAATCAGGTATCTAAACAAGCCCTATGCACCTCAAATTCCTGTGAAAGGGGACGGATGACTGTTGATATCAGCCTGAAAATTTAGCCTTTAAACAACAGTGGGAAAGGGGAATGGTGACAAAATGGTCTATTTTGGAGCAAGGAGTTGCATCCAGCGGTGCATCAAATGAAGCCAATAGATCTTAGTTACTAGGAGAGGAGAGATTTCTGATTTCGCTTCCCACCCCAGTTAAAACTTCTTGATAGATGTGGGAGTTTCCTTGTTTTCTATTATCAGAAGCTGCTACTGAACCAAATCAAAACATAATTTGACCCCATCACATGATGTCACCTTTAACATCTGACCTTTGTTGGATTCCTGAGTTAATCTTAGTTACATAGGCAAAAACCACAATCTAAGATTCTGATTATTGGATATATTCATTTTTCCCTCCCCACCCTCATCAATCAACGCAGTCATTATAATCCCCATGATCTTAAAGAGTTATTAAGAACATTTCTAATTTCTACTGGCCCATAGTGGATGTTCCTGAGAAATAATCAGGTCTAGATTCTCACCCAGCTACCCGATTTTTACAAAGTCCAAGAATACTTCCAAGATATATAAAATCTGTTGGTCTTTATTACCTTAGAGCAGGGGGTCCCCAAACTTGGCAACTTTAAGAGTTGTGCACTTCAGCTATTCTGGTTGGAGAATTCTGGGAGTTGAAGTCCACAAGTCTTAAAGTTGCCAAGTTTGCGGACCCCTGCCTTAGAGGAACTCTTCTATTACGTTGGATGGCTGGCATTGGCAGGAAATTGAACAGTGGTGGGGTTCAAAAAAATTTACTACCGGTTCTGTGGGTGTGGATTGGTGGGCGTGGCAGGGGAAGGATACTGTAAAATCTCCAGTCAGAGGTGGTATTTGCTGGTTCTCTGAACTACTCAAAATTTCCACTACCAGTTCTCCAGAACTGGTCAGAACCTGCTGAATACCATCTCTGAAATTGAAGCAAAAAGGGACCAGCAATGGGACAGCTGATTTCAAGTCTGTAGAGTTTTCTGCTGTCCAAAAAGGCCATTGGTAGATGGTCTTCAAGTTAGCAATAGGTCAACCACAAAGCTAAGTCCAGAGTATGTTCTTCTGTCAATGGACCACAGAGATAGGAAAAATACAACCTCTGTTGAACATAGAAGTTTGGACAAAGGATCCAAATCTGTTTCATACCACCACCACCAATTTTAGGAACCAAAATCTGCACAACATCACTAAATGTGCATCTGGAGCAAAAAGGCCTTATTAATGAAGGTTCAAGCTCCAAGCAGCAAAGTTCCCAATTCAGACCTTTAGTAACACTGATGTGGCTCATACACCATGAGAAGCAACAAGGTAGCTTGCCTGATGAATCCTCTCAGGGTGGCATGTTAACTATAGTTCGTCTTGGTAAATTAAGTGAATGAAACAAATAATACATTATGTAATAACCCATGACTAAACAATACATAATTTAATCTGATTCCCGTACGTAGAAAAAAATGAAAATAAAAGAGATGAACTTGCCTGATTTAAGAAGACAGTATTTATCATTCTCTTTATTTAATTTCATCTTATGAAAGACAGTATGTCAGCAACTTTGATGCACCAAAAATTCTCACCTCTGATTTACAAAAGGAACATATGTAATCTCCCCTTCATCTTAAGTCATTTTTATGCCTTTTCTTCTTCATAATTTTTTTCTTTTCTGGTTGTCTCCTCAGGCAATCATTTTATTGTGATTTATCTGCATATTCTGGCACATTTTTAGTTTTGACACCATTCAAGCCAATCCTGTAAAGAAATAAAACTCTAATAAACGTGTCAACGTTTGAAAAGAAATGTGATCCATCAAAGTACAGCCTCATTGATCCCGCCTCTCCAAAGGCAATTTTTCCAAAAGCAACCTTGGAAAGAACAGGCATTTCTTCGCTGTGATGAAAGCTGAATAATATCTACAACACCAAAAGGCAAGCAGGTAACTGAATTGCAGGGTGACTGTTTGGCATTTCTCGACAGGGGAGAAGATCTAATCACCTTTTCAGCTGACCTATTCTCTGGGCAGCCATCACATAATGCAATTGTCAAGGATTTAACACTGAGACACTTTTCAGCTTCTTCTTGCAGTTTCAAGGTTTCCATGAAAGAGGAGGCGACCAGCTGCAAGCAGGAATTCTCATGGCCGAAACAGCAAAAGTGGGGAGGAGGAAACCTGCTTGAATAAAGGAGTCAACGATATAGCAGGAAAAGCAACTCAGCAGCTCACCACCATTATAAACATACAAGCCAGTTCATGGCTCAAGGCCTGAGTGTCTTTAAGACTGACTTTCTTCAACTAAGAAGAAATTTCCTGACAGAACAATTAATCAATTAATTAATTAATCAGTGGAACAACTTGCCTCCAGAAGTTGTGAATGCTCCAACACTAGAAGTTTTTAAAGAGATGTTGGATAACCATTTGTCTGAAGTGGTGTAGGGTTTCCTGCTTGATCAGGGGGTTGGACTAGAAGACCTCCTAGGTCCCTTCCAACTCTGTTATTCTATTCTATTCTATTCTATTCTATTCTATTCTATTCTATTCTATTCTATTCTATTCTATTCTATTTCTGCCCATAAGATAATGTGCCAGGACTAACAAGCTCCAGATCATTTGGTGGCACCTTGGAGATGGGTTTTCTCTAAAGCTGCCCCACATTAAACAACTAAACAAGAAAATGAATGATCATGACAGCAGAATGAAACAACATACCAATCAGGCTAACAATGGAAATAAAAGAGAAGAGTCAATTTATTATAGGCCCTGGTATGAGTGGTTTAGAAATAAAAAGAAAATAAATTGGCAATTAGGAAAAGAATGAGGGAATATGTAAATATGTAAATATACCATGGAAAAGATTGAGATGTAAGGATAAAAGATATTGATTTATAGTAAGAGTAAGATGTAATGGTAAAGGAATAGGTAAATACATATACTGGAAAATGTGAGGAGATGCAAAAGATGTCTTGATGTTGATAACAATGTATAAAGTTTTATTTTATGTTTTTAAAATTTGGAAACTTAATAAAATTTATTTTTTTAAAAAGAAAAGAAACAACATACCAAGAAAAATGTCCATCCCATCCCACTCAAATTCGTACATCCCATTTCATCTGCATGGTCACAAAGCATCCCAGGCCTTTTTTTTTTTTTTAATAGGGCTTTATTTTGTAAAAGTCAGGAGGATTTGGGGGTATCCTGGTCTCAGGAGGATGTTCTTCAAAGGACTGGGGGGGGGGGGCGGAAAAGGGCAGAAGGGTTGTAGTGTGGAAAAACCCTATAGCAAAGCTGCTGTTTGCCCACAGGTTTCCATTTGAATGGGTCTTTGTGGTGTTCCTCCATGGACAAACTTTGTCAGTACAGTGAAGAGGACAAAGTCCAGGCCAGTGGTGGGATTCAAAAAAATTTACTACCGGTTCTGTGGGCGTGACTTGGTGGGCATGGTTTGGCTTTGTGGGCATGGTTTGGCTTTATGGGCATGGCAGGGGAAGGATACTGCAAAATCTCCATTCCCACTCCACTCCAGGGGAAGGTTACTGCAAAATCCCCAATCCCTCCCCACCTGACTAACCTGATTTCCAGCTCTGTTTTCCTGTGAAGGGCAATGAAAGAAGACCCAGCCGATCAGCTGGGACTCGGGAGGCAGAGAATAGATGGGGGTGGGGCCAGTCAGAGGTGATATTTGCTGGTTCTACGAACTACTCAAAATTTCTGCTACCGGTTCTCCAGAACTGGTCAGAACCTGCTGAATACCACGTCTGGTCCAGGCCCAGGTTCCTTCAACAGCAATGCCACTCTTCTTCCTGATAATTATAACTCCTGGTGGCACAGTGGTTAAACTGTGCTAACTCTGCCCACAGCCTGGAGTTTGATCTTGATAGGGCTCAAGGTTGACCCAGCCTTCCATTCTAAGATCTAAGGTAAAATGAGGACGGAAATTGTTGAGAGCTATATGCAAATAATGCTTTTTCATTGTAAACCACCCAGAGAGTGCTGCAAAGAACTATGAGGTGGTATATAAGCTTAAATGCTATTTCTATTTCTAATGCTATAAACAACACATACAATAACCCAAGAAGAATTCCTGTTCAAAATTGGGAGAAAATTAAGTTTTGTATTTTTCTTAGTTTTATTTAAGTTTTAAATAAACCTAGGGACTTAGAAAAGCTTATTACATTTCAAATGATTCTCTTCCATCTTGTATCTTAATCACAACCAAACCTTCTGCTCAAGGAAATCCACTTCACTCCTGAAACTGATTTTCATGTACAATTGCACAGTGTGAGAAGGAATTGAGGTAACAATGTGAAACAGTGCCATCTGCCGTGGTTGGAAGAAAAATAGATTAGATTTCAAATTTACAGGCCTTTCTAGACAAAATGTGTATGGAAATACATTTGGTAGGGAAATATCAATGACATGTTGCCATCATGTTGTCTTCAGTCTGATGTTTGTGGGTCCTTATTTCACCATTTTCTCAACCACAAATAATCCATTTTGTTCATAAAAATCACATTACTCTTACTACTCCAGGTTCCATCAGGTTCATAATGCTAGCATGACAAAAGATTGTTTGAGAGGGTTTTTTGAGACACCAAGTATATTTACCTACTTATTAAAATTTTATTTATTTATTTCTCATCACTATTTTTATAAATAACTCATGGTGGCAAACATATTTAATACTCCTTTGTCTGCATATTTTCCTCACAACAATCCTGTGAGGTGAGTTGGGCTGAGAGAAAGTGACTGATTCAAAGTCACTCAGCTGGCTTTCATTCCTAAATCGGACTAGAACTCACAATCTCCTGGTTCCTAGCCTGACCACTAGACCAAACTGGCTTATATTATTACCTTACTTCAAACTAAGATGCCCAACATGTGGAATTATGCATGGTACCCCTGCTATCAAAGCATGTTTTCCAAGGCTTCCTGACCCTACCCCATATCCCAATTTACTGCTGGGACTTACTAATATCTCGGTGGCACAATGGTTAGAGTATTGTACTGTAGGCCACTTCTGCTGACTATCGGATGTTCAAATCCCACCAGATTCAAGGTTGACTCAGCCTTCCATCCTTCCGAGGTGGGTAAAATGAGGACCCAAATTGTTGGGGGCAATATGCTGACTCTGTAAACCACTTAGGGCTGTAAAGCACTATAAAGTGGTATATAAGTAAGTGACATTTCTATTGTTATTGCTCTGCAAGGCAGTTTACCCCAAAATTCCTTTACAAAAAAAAGTGGTTACTCTCCATGTGGGAGATTCCAGAATAGTTTTTTTTGTATGTGTTATATTTATTGATACTTACTGTATTAAAATTTTAAATGGATACATTCGCCATTGCAGCCACTTCTCATGATTGTTGAGTGGGATTTTAGTATTGAATTATTTTTCAATATAGGCTGGGATATCATTTTGATTTTGAGGAGCCCTGAAAAGGATCTTGAGGGAACCACACTTTAAAGAAATACTGCTTCAGATGGTTCCATAGAAGCCACTGGTTGCCTTCAGAGGAGCAGGGAGGAGAGGGAAATGATGATGCAAACACGATGATATCATCATATAAGTGGGGTGTCTTGCGTATTTACACAAGACATGTAACACAGGTTTATGGTAGTTGTGGTGATGTAATTGCTGCCTGTTGTCATTTTCACATCACTATGGGTTTCTTATGAACACTGCTGATTGATGGTACCACTGATAGAATAGTGAGAAAAAATTGGGACCACCACTATGGTATTTGTTAGGTTTTGATTTAGCACGTTGCTGAATCTACACAGCATGATTTGTAGATTACAGTTCATGGCATTGTGCGAGAGAATACAGCCATTAGGACTTGTTAAAACAAAAACACATACCCAAATAGAATTCAACATCCCATACTTTATGTACAATAAAAGCAGCAAAGGATCTTTCATGAAAATATGGGTACCTAACATGAAAATCAAGAAGTCCCATAGAAATTCATGATTTGGACCCATGTGATTGTGACTTACAAGTTACAATTATCCACAACAGCCATTTTCATAACTAATTACAGATATATGGCACAATATCAAAACTTAAACTTTAAAGAAAACTGAATCATATATATACAGTAGTTCCTCTTCCAACTATGTAGGGAGAACAATTACATTAGTACATAAATTGACTGTGTCTATGCCTCTGGACCTATTGGAAAATTTCCATGGTATCAGGGGAAGGAATGAAGGTCAGGTCAGCCTAGACTGAGTGGAATGAAGGTCAAGTCAGCCTAGACTGAGTCCTCCTTTCCCTTGATGAACTGATAAGAGACTGCTGCTCAGCTGGTAAAACAGAATTCTGCTCTGGTGCTGTAGTGTATCATTCAAGCAATGTCTCTTCCAATATAACCCAGATTATGCCCACATTGCTTCCCTTTATATAGTGAGTACAACTATGAACACTGCATTATTCTCATCAGACAAGACAACCAGATTTTATGAAGAAATAGTTGTTCTGCTTGCAGTGATTATCACTAGGACTATAAACTAAGAATATGGAAATGGTTAGCTTTTCTCTACTTCCTAGAGCTGAGAAAAAGACTGGCCGAAGGTCACCCAGATGGTTTTGTGCCTAAGATCTCAGTCTCCTAGTTTCTTGCCTAATGCCTTAACCGCTACACTCGATTGGTTCTCCTGCTCTATGTGCCATGCATCATGGCTTTATTGCTTGTTCATAGTATGGTTATTTTTCTTGGTTCCTTTGGGGTCTATTGTTGTCTTGAAATAATTT